TATTCATGCATGAAAATTAAGCGTGCACTCTCAATCAACATACATAAATAAGTTATCGATCAAGCAGTTAAACAAATTGAATCCACAACTTATGAAATTCCAACCAAATATAATCAATTCATATTGCAAGCATAAACATGGTTTCGAATCACCCCCTAGCTAACTAGGGGGATTTAGCCTCTCATGGTCACAAAAAGAGAATTACAAATGAATTTAAACATAAAGCACAAAGGATTGATTACACCTAGAACGCCCAACGAATCCACGTGAATTGGTGCGTGTCGAAGCTCCTCTTTCCTCTTCTCCTTGCTGCGGCAATGATGGGAAGTGTGTGGAAATTCCTGGAATGGAAGGGGGATAGCACGGCAATGGAGAGAATATGGGAGATTTTGGGTGAATGGATGCACGGATTGAAGAGAATATGGTGTGAAGGTGGCTGCGTGAAGATTGGGTTTTTGATGGGAAAAAGTGGCTAAAAATGATTAGGGTTATGGCATGCACGGCAATATGGTGTGAATGGGAAAAAGTGATGAATGGTGGGATTAATGAGATTTGCGGCTGGAATGGAGAACAAAGGTTAATGGCTTTTTGCGGCTAGGTTTTTTTTTATGTTTCTTTTTGTGAATTCTTGCCGCTTAGGGAGGAAACATGGAATAGAATATTAGGGTCGATGGTGGCTGATTAGTGTTAGGGTGAAAGTGTGTTAGGGTTTGATTGGTTGCGGCTGTGATGGAGAAAAGGTGAATGGCAGTTTGCGGCTCAAGGAGGAATAAGTGAATATGGAATTTTTGCGGCTGATTTGGAATGGTCTTATGAAGGCTACGGCTTAGGTGGTAGAAAAATCTTTTGGTGGCTGCATGATATGAGACAAAAGAAATGGGATTTGCGGCTGCTAGGTTGAAATTAGGGTGCATGGTAAAAATGGGGGGGGGGGGGCACGGCTTTTAGGGAATTTGGGATTTTTGTGGCTGTTTTGTTTTATTATAAAAATGAAAATAAAATGGAAAGCTACGGATTAAAGGGGAGGATATGGAAAGGTGCGGCTAAGTATGTAAAACCTAGAGTTTTAAATATGTTTGGTTCCTAGCTTATTTTTATTAACTAAAATAAATTCAAAGGCTTCTAGAATTTAGGAAAAATCAGAAATTAAAGGGGGAAGATTAAAATGGTGCGGCTAGGGCCTTGGTTTTGTGTCCTAAAGCGCCTACAAGGACTTCAAAGTGGCTAGAAAATACGAACGTTTAAGATTAGGAAAGGTTACCAAAACGGGAAACTTAGGGTCAACTTTCCTAAAATAGGAAGCCTTGTTTGAGTAGGATTCGTTTTGGTAAGAATTCATCGTTGGCGTAGGAATTCGTCGTTTCTTCAAGTCTTCAACTCATTCGTTCATCTTTCGCTCCAAAGGACTCCAATTTGCATCTTCTTGCACACTTTGGCCTTATAATCTGAAAATACACAAAAGTGGCCTTAAACACTAAAACAACTAAGTAAACACAACATAAATGCACGAGAACAAGCTAATTAAGTCGCATGAATATGCTCCTATCATCGCCCCTAGGGTGGGACAATCTATCTGGGGGTGCTTCTCAATTTGTTGTCTTGTTCCGCACCTGCATCTGTGATTCTGGTAAACTCCAACTACCATTGAATAACACTAGCAGTGCATATCTCAGGAGACACCAGCTTATTGTCCTAGAGTTTCTTGTTTTGTGTCCCTTACAGTGCCTAATAAACCATAAGAAAACATCAAAGCTGGCCTTAGGTATCAGATCCACAATCTCATTGATTCATATCATGAAGGATGGAAGGTGAGTGTTCCTCAAAAGTGGACCCACCTGCGAGCTTATCCACGCACATTTCGCATAATGGCATTCCTTCATTAGGTGGATGGTAGATTCCCCATACACACCACACAATACACATTCCACATCTGTGGTAATATGTCTTGCCGCCAAGTTAGCCTTAGTAGGAACCAACTCATTGGCAAGTTGCCATACGCAGATTTTAACTTTCAGTGGCACGTTTACACTCCATACTTTTGCTCAGATCTTAGAACCATCAGAGTTAGGGGATGACGCCCCCCAGTTTGTGGGTTGTAGCCAATTTCTCGCCACATGGTAGGCCGACCTGACCATAAACTTTCCATGTCTTTCATGGTGCCACAACAAGTGATCCGACAGATTTCGAACACTTAGTGGAATTGTCCAAATCAAATTTACCTCCTCAGTAAAGAAGAGCTTTTCTAGAATATCAATCTTCCAACCTTTTGCAATTGGATCGATCAACTCATTTACCATTGCCACCATGCATCCCGCTAGTTTGGGTGAATATGGGCGAAATCAAGATGGGATGGGAATCCAAGGGTCATCCCATATATAGATGGATTGCCCAGTGCCTACCTGCCATCTTAGACCCAAGCTTAAAACTTTCCTTGCCGTGCAAATGCTTTTCCAAACATATGATGCTCCAGATTTCAATGGGGTCTCCATAAAAGAGCTATTCTAAAAGTACTTAGCCTTTAGAACTGTAGAAACCAGAGAGTGAGGGTCTGCCATCAATTGCCACCCCTGCTTTGCTAACATACTGAAATTGAATGCATATAAGAGTTGAAACCCAAGTCCACCCATATTCTTTGGATTACAAAGGTGTTCCTAAGAGCACTAGTGCAGTTTCTTTTCTCTTTCGTCACCATTCTACTAGTAGGATGCAATTAACTTGTTTAAGCCATCACAGAAGGTTTTGGGAAGAAGAAAACAACTCATCGAGTAGTTAGGGATTGCTTGAGCCACTGCTTTCACCAACACCTTTTTCCCAGCTGTACTTAGCATCTGACCCTTCTAACTCTTTAACGTTTTCCATAAACGATCTTTTAGATACCCAAAGCACAAGCTTATGTTCCTCCCCATAAATGTTGGCATACCAAGGTATTTTTTATGTCTCTCCACACGGCTCACACTAAGGATCCTAGCAAGCTTTCGGTGTACTGATCACTTCACATTTCTGCTAAAACAAGACTCACTTTTCTTGAGGTTTACCTTTTGCCTTGAAGCATGTTCATAAATCTTTAAGACCTCTCGTACTTGCCTGTAGTCCAATTCCGTTGCTCGACAAAATAGTAAATTATCATATGCAAATAGCAAATGACTAATTACCTGTGCTTCCGTACATATGGAGACGCCTTGTATCATTCTCTGCCGTGCCCTCTAAGCTATTAACGCTGACAATCCTTTCGCACAGAGAATAAACAAGTACAGTAGAATCCACTATCACTCTATCCCCATTTTCTTCTCCAATGGTTTTCACGGGCCCCTATCATCGTAGCTTAGAAGTTGCTAAAAGACTTGAGGCATTTGATTGCATTATCTTGTACAATTCAAGGAAGGAAAAACCATCTGTTTCGTACCCTTTCTATTCCGATGTTTGTGAAGTTACAGCTAATAGCGACGTGCTTGTCGTTCGCTGCACGTTGAATGCTCAAACCCACCACATGATTAACAAGAAAGTCTCGTTGGCATTGGGAAGATAGGGGGTGACTGTTAATGTAGGGCGTGGAGCTATTATCGATCAGAAGGAAATGGTGCAGTGTTTGGTGCAAGGAGAGATCAAGGGTGCTGGCTTGGATGGCTTGGATGTGTTTGAGAATGAGTCTGAAGTTCCGAAGGAGTTCTTTGGACTCGATAATGTTGTCCTGTCACTGCATCAAGCTGCTACGACAGAAGACTATTTCAAGGATTTGAGTGATCTAGCAGTAGCGAATTTGGAGGCTTTCTTCTCAAATAAACCATTGCTTTCTGAAGTGGTGAATGATTGAATAGATTTCTATTTGCAGGTTAGTTCCTTCATAATTTTGTGTACCATCTTGCATGCAATCGTTATGGTTTTTCTCCGATGGCGATTATTCATACAGAAACCACTCAATGCAGGGTACAAACAATTGATTCGATAGATGAAGTGATGAGAGAAGAGAAGGATGAAGAACTGCCATATCGCTGTTGGTATTTGTTTGGAAAGTTGCATGATTTACAATGAATAAAGCGACTGAAGATGTTTGGTTCTGTAAATTTTCTCGTCTTTCTTCCATGTTATGTAAATTCACACCTCACTGGTTGCAAAGCGAAACAAAGAACACGAACCAGAAATCGAAGGTTGATCACCATTTCTACGTTACCTTAAGGGGATTCGAATGATACTACTCATTTCCTTAGTCAACAAGGCAAATGGTTAATAAAATCTATTTGTTCTGTAGGGTACCGTTTGGTACGTGGGACGGGACGGAACAGAGTGGGACAAGACGTTCCGTCCCACGTTTGGTGTGCCTAAAACGGATGGAACGAGCTGTTTCATGGGACGAGTTTGGGGTGAATTTTCGTTCCACCTCAGTCCCTTGGAACGACTCGTTCCACATTCGTGGAACACAAAATTATAACCTCTTCGTCTCCTTCTTCTTCCTCCTTGTTTCCATCCCAGGGCATCCTTGCTCCCGCTCCATTCCGTTCTGTCCTGTCCTATCCCGTCCCATCCCGTCTGCATACCGAACGATACCTAGAGTTCAGAAAACCTATACAGGGCTCACTCGTCCACTCACTTTTTTATTTTGTCCAATAATATTTGAACACATGTTTATTGTTTTAAAAAATAATGAACATGTTTTTAAAAAAAAAACAAAATACCACGTGACATTTTTTAATTGAGTTGAATCAAAAAGTATTATCCCTTACTAAAATCAAAATACTCGAAAATCAAAAGAATTGTTAAATTTGAATCCTCAATCTTTATCAACAAGAAAATGAAAGTGTAATAAGAACAATGATAAAAATATTACTAATGCTTCTACAATTGTATTTAAATTTAATTGTATCAGTTAAAATGATCAGAAATCAAGTTTCAATTAACAATACAACTATCAAATATTTACGACATACAAAAAAACTAAACAGAACATTGATTTTAATAAATCTTGATATATAATTTCTAAATTATTTACACAATCATCACATATCCAAGAAAAGCCCCGGAGAGGTGTTTTAGTTTTCGCTCGCGTTCTGCTCGCCCTTTCCGCTCACACTCAATCATCACACATCGAAGAAAAGCCCTCCATGTTTCTCACCAAGCTCTCCCGCCAAAAGCCAAACCCACTCGAACGCCTTCTCACGCGCCACCTCTGCAACCCCTCGAAACTCCACGACCGCTACTCCTTCAAACCCCCACCCTCCCTTTCCCCAAACCCCCAAGACCATAACCCTAACCCTGATCATATCCCCAAGAAAAAGCAGAAACCCCAGTACCGCCCGCCGTCGTCCCTCGACCGTACGGGTCAGAAGCCGATACATTCTGATTTGCCCTTCGATTTCAGGTACAGCTACACCGAGAGCAACCCGGCTGTGAGACCCATCGGGCTGCGGGAGCCCAAGTACTCGCCTTTTGGGCCGGGCCGAATCGACCGCGAGTGGATCGGAGTGTGTGCCCCGGCCGTGGACTCGAAGGTGCGGTCGGTGGAGGGAGTGGAGGAGGACCCGAAGTTGGAGGAGAAGAGGAGGAGGAGGAGAGAGAAGGTTCAGGGAGAGCCTCTCAGTCCCGCTGAGAGGAAAATCTTGGTGGAAAAGTGCCAGAGGCCCAAAACCAAGAGGCAAATTAATTTGGGTATGAATTTTTGCTTTGTGTTTCATTAGCTTTGTTGGATTGAGGAATGTGGGGAATTGATAATTGCTTTATTGTAGAGTTTTTACGATGATTGGGCTATTCCGCTTTTCGTTTGATTGAGAAGATTTCGGCTTTTTGGATAGCTTAATATGCTCGATGAATTGGGTATTAGGTTTTGCTGTAATTGACATAGCATTGAGTTGCTTGAGGTTCAGGGTATTGTACATTGTCTATTTCGATTCTGTTTGATTATTCGGGTCTGAGCTTTTTGTATTCTCTACCGTTTTTGTTGGATTGGGGTTCTGCTATTTCTTTTGATTGCTATGGTTTTGAGGTTTCTGAGATGGGAGCTGGGGAGAGTATTTGATAATAATGGTATTTTGTATTTCGGTTTTACTGCGATTTGTGAGTAATAAGGGTATGGTCTTATGTTCTTGGTTTCTATTTGGTGCGTCTGCTTCTTCCGGTCGTTCTCGTTTGATTTATTTTGTCAAACTGGTTGATGCAATCCCTATTCCGTAAAAAATCCCCCTTGTAATGTTTAAAGGTTTTTATATCACTAAGCAATTACTAAACAAGAATAAGCAGTGTCTTTTATGTTTATTCATCTCCCCCTCTTATTTATCTCTGTTATCGTCTTATGGTGTATTATGATTTAATTTCTTGTAGGGAGGGATGGTTTAACTCACAATATGCTGAATGATATTCATAACCATTGGAAATTCGATGAGGCAGTGAGGATAAAATGTATAGGTGTTCCGACTGTTGACATGAAAAATGTTTGCAACCAGCTTGAGGTATCTTATGTTCTCTAATTACTGCTCTGTATCTTTCCTCTGATGCAACTGTCGTTTCATTTTTCTCTTTTCCTCGAGTCTTTTACAATATGGTATGTGTGCTGTACCACATAGGCCCTTTTTTGCGTTTACGAATTCTCGGCTATATGCTACTCATTGCACAGTCCTGCTTGGCATATGGTTTTTAGTTCTTTAAAGCATCAAAGTTCTTTTCTACATTCCATCATCAACCTTGTTGCAAGGTTTTATAGTTTGTTTGACATTTTAATATAGATGCCCTTGACATTTGGCATCATTATCTGGGGGGATGTTTGACCATGAAAAATGAAATTTTGAAGCTCTGTAGGAAGAGCTGCCCAGTTTGTAAGAAGGGCCTCTGTGGGGTCAAAGGTGCGATTGTGTAATTGAGAAAGTGTTGAAACAATGTAACACTGATGTTTCACATTATGGTACATTCTAAAAAGGCACCTTTTTTGAATCAATAAAAAATCAAATGCAACATATAATCTGTCTTTGCATGATGAATTGAGTTATATATGAGAATGGTTACAGGATTCACTATTATTTCTTGGAACTTGGAAGAAATGCTAAATGCAGGTTTCATGTGTATGTTGCAGGACAAAACCTTTGGAAAAATCATCCACAGACATGGTGGTGTACTTGTATTATACAGAGGCAGGAATTATAACCCCAAGAAGAGGCCCGTGATTCCATTAATGTTGTGGAAACCACATGAGCCTGTATATCCCAAGCTGATCAAAACTACAATTGATGGCCTAAGCATTGCGGAAACAAAGGAAATGAGAAAGAGAGGATTAGCTGTCCCTGCCTTAACAAAACTTGGTACATTCTTTTTCTGGTTTATGGACTTGATGACTTGAGAATTGAGATGCATGTCTACTTATTATTTACGATCTTGTTGAAACTGCAGCCAAGAATGGTTATTATGGTAGTTTGGTATCCATGGTCAGAGATGCTTTTCTCTGCTGTGAGCTGATTCGGATAGATTGCCAGGGATTTGAGAAGAGTGATTACAAGAAAATAGGCTGCAAACTTCGGGTAATTTGTCAAACCTGTTTTTTCTTCTCTGCTTAAGCTTACTTCTGTGTACAAGTTGAAAGTGCATTCAAATGGCTAGTCATGGGGATTTCCAACTGCATTTCTTTCCTGTCTGACATGTCTCATGATGGGAATAGTTGCTTGAATATCCTGAAAGACCATAATAGTTTCTTGCTGTCTCAACTTTCATGGCTTTGTCGATGCGAACTGCGCTCGAAACCTAAATGTGTATTTGCATGCATGAATAGCATGATTGCTTCTGTTTATTAAGTTCTCGTATTTAAACTTTACTGTTGCTACAGGATCTTGTTCCTTGTATCCTGGTGACATTTGAGAAGGAACAGATTGTGGTGTGGAGAGGGAAGGACTATAAGCCTCCAGAGGGTGGATACTTCCTTCCAGATCGAGAACTGTTCGATAGTCCAGAAGGTGATTTGGGTTCTGGCACAGAGGCGTGTGATAAGTCAGAATCAGATGGCAACAGTAGCCTAAATGAATTCTCGTCTTGAGAAGATGAGTAGTCACTTCATTGCTGCAAATACAGGTGCCAATAGGTGTTGTTGGTTGGAGACTCAGATTTGATCGAACTTTCCTTCTCCCGATTGCAAATTCGGAATTCATGCAGAGCCAAATGGAGGCAGTCCAGAATATCCTGGAAATAGTATTTGGGGTGAACTTGTGGGTTGTGCAGTGAAACTAGATGGCATGATCTAAACTGTTCCCTCTCGTCGCAGCACAAAATGGAAAAAGAAAATGACTGTCAACTGAAGTATTGAGATAAGGTGACAGACGGGGTAAGAATTGCAGAGATTCTTTGGATGCAATTTTCACCATTTGTAAGCTGCCGTCCATGTAAGACAGTGATTCCATGAATCCGACTGTCATTTGGCGGAGATACCAATCCCTGTTGGGCAAGACTTGGATCAACTCAAGCCTAATTCTGCAATGGTGTGGTATTTTGGTTCTAGCTTTTTTATCAAGGCATTGATCATGTTTTAAATTGTAATTAGTTTTGTACGAAAGCGACTCCTCAAGAATCCAACTGCCTCCATTTCTCTATGATGATGATGGGGGTTGCTGTATGCGCATATATCTCGATTTCACTTTGTTCATCTGTTGATTCTATTCTATATACCGCGTGCTTACTTTTTCTGATTTTGCATGAGAGAGATACTAATGGGGGTTATACCACCGGTTGTACACCAAGGATCCCTTATACGGGCGTCTGGACGCAAGAACTTTTCCAGGTAGGCCTGGGATGCAGAGTCAAACTAGAGTTATGTTGAGTACATATTTTTATTGGAGGATTTAGTATTCACTGTCTGCAAGCATTCACACAAATCAATTGTCCTTCGGAGGGATTTAATTAATACGCGTTAACTCCGACTCTGAGTATTGATAGTGACCTCAGGCTCTTCAAGTCTCCGTCGCCGGCGTATTTCCTACAAACTTGCCGGCGCCATTGTTAATCTTGTTGCTCCCTCAATTTCTACTTGTCGGAAAAGGTGCACTGGTTCTAACTTGTGTTTTTTGATCTATTACTTTATGGTGACGAATGATTACTATTTCTGAACTCATCCTTTGAAGGTAAGGTGTTTGCTGAATTTGCCTATTTAGAGCATCTCCAATGGGAGTCCCTATTTAGGGACTCCTACCACCACTTTAGAGTACTCATTTAAAGATTTAAAGGCAATCTTTGTGTCCCTAAAGAAAGAAATATTGCCTTCACTGGGAGAGTCCTTATGGTAGAATCCCTAAATTTGAGGTTTTTACAATTTTATGTAATAATTTGATTAGGTGCATATTTTTTGTTTATGTTAACATTACGTTATCGTAAAATATTTTTGTGAACATTTTAACAAAAAAAATTCAAATTCTGACACTAATTTTTTTTTTTTTCACAAAAACGTAACTAGAATGAGTGAATTGAGTACGAGTGAACTGAGTATAGGAGATGAAGTTGTCGTAAGTTTTGGTTTGATAATTTGGTATTTATAGAAATGATGAGAGAAAAAAAATGAAAGAGTAACCCAAATTGAAAATATTAATATTTCAACGAGGGCATGATGAAAAGAAAAAACAAAAGAATATGAAAACCAACATGAAAGAGTAACCTAAATTAAAACAGTATTTAATTGGAATCGTTGATCTTTCAACAGTAAAAGAATTTGAAAAGCAAGAATCAATCTGGACCCTTCATTTTAAACGGTTGAAAAGAAAAGGAAAAAAGACAAGGCCATGTAACTGGGACCCACGCCTGCTTTTCCACTTAAATTGTCTTATTGGGTCCACCATTTCAATCTCTATATGTGGGGACATACACCAAGTATCTGGCGAGTCCCAATACTTTAGGAACTCACTTTTCGATTTATTGGAGATTCGTTGTCCCTATATTTATTTTATACTCATTTTATATGGTGGTTGTCCCTATATAGGGACTCAACTGGAAATGCTGTTAGACAATATAGAATAATGCTGAAGACAGAGAGAAAGAGAGTACAAACAACATACAGGACATACTATTATACCAAACAGCTATAAGATTCTTCAAAAACCCAAATTTTTAGACTTTGTCCTGATTATTTGAAATGGTGTTTAAGTCTTGAGTCATCAAGGATAAGCTACTACCACTTGAAAAACACACTAGAGCCGAGTCAAAGTGTAATCCGCTATAATCCAAAGTTTTCGAGTAGAACCAGAAAAAGATGTAAGAAAAGTTCCATAAAAAACCTGTAGCACTGATTAACCACAAGATAGGGATGATGAAAAAGCTCTAACAACCAAAACCAAAGACCCACATTCCAAGAACATTTCCAAAAAATGTGAGATAGAGACACAACAATAGAATTTACAAAATGAGCATTGAGAAACCATTGAAACTCCCAGCAAAAATACAAAATGAGCAACGAGAAACTATTGAAAATCCCATATGTTAAAGCATTGTATCAGTAAGGAGACGACCATGTAAAACAATGAGAAATCATTGAAACTCCCAACAAAAATACAAAATGAGCAACGAGAAACTATTGAAAATCCCATATGTTGAAGCATTGTATCAGTGAGGAGACTACCATGTAAAACTTTCCAAACAATTAGGCTTTGCCTTGGTTGGATCCAATGAGACCAAACGATTTTCCCCCAGGGCTTGGATATCAAAGTTAAGCAAGTGAAAATAAGCCTCTTTAGCTATAAGAATACCAGAGAGAGATCTAGACCAACATAAAGAGTCGGAAGATTTCTGAAACGGAAGGGAATAACTGTAATTAAAGCAGCAACTTCAGAAAAAAGATTGATGAAATCCGGCGACGATTCCCAATGAGAACCACATATAAAATCTCTCACTAGGGCTCTGACCGTATGAGCAAGAGTATCACGGATGTCAAGATAGGAAATCAAAAGACTGCCCAACCAATTATCAAACCAAAATGAAACTAGAGAACCATCGCTTACAATCGAAGTCGAATGTTTTTAAAACTCAGCCACACCGATGATTTTTTATAAACGGAAAGAGGAACCGAACCTCTATGCAAGAAACGAGCATGCATGAAGATAGCCACTAGAGTGGGAATCCACAATATCCCAACAACGCTTTAAAAGTAATAAGAGATTTAGAACCGCCCAATCCTTTAACTCTAAGCAACCAAGATGCTTTGGTCGACTAAACAAACTTGCCAAGAAATTAAAAGAGTACCATGAGAGTCCGGATCACCTGACCAAAAAAAATTCCTTATCCAACATTGAACTTGATTTAAAAGAAGACGAGGCCAAACGTACACTTGAAAACTATAAATTAAAATGCTTAGGATGATAGACGGGATAAGTTGTAGGCGACCTGCTTGAGAAAGCATAAGACCTTTTCAGAGAGTTTACATTTTACTTTATCCGCAATATCCTGAAAGTAACTCCGCATGGAACGACCTTGGAAGATGGGAACACCCAAGTATTTGAATGGAAAAGAACCCACTCCAATACCAAAAAGGTTCCTGATAGATCCATGCTTGGTTGCGCATATTTAACCTAGAAAACCAAAGATTTTGACTTGTTGACTGCTTGACCTTAGTTAAGCCCATATTCCATAATGAATCTTACAAGGTGTCCAAGATTAGCACGGATGCCTCACAAAAATATCATAATATCATCAGCAAATAAGACATGAGAAGGGGCACATAAACCCCAATGGGGATGCATTAGAACCACCAGAGGAGATTAACATCGATAAGTCACGGCTCAAAACCTCCTCCGCCAAGCAAAATAACAGAGGAGACAAAGGATTGCCCTGACGAACACCTCTAGAACAGGAAAAAAAAACCAGAAACTTGCCCATTAACTAAGAAAGACAGATAAGCTGATCGTAAAATTTCCTCCACCCAATTAACAAACATATGGGAGAAACCAAAAGATTTCAGAACACGTTACAAAAAAGGCCATCCCAAAGTGTCAAAAGCCTTTTTGAATATCTAATTTGATTGCAACAATACCTCCCACACATCGCTTATCAAGAAAATTCATGCACTCCGAAAGTGAGAATAGTGGCATCAGAGATGGTACGACCTTTAAGAAAAGCATGTTGTTGAGAGGATACAATCCTGGAGGCAACCAGGCCCAATCTATAGGTAAGAATACGAGTGGTGATTTTGAAGACAAAATTAGCCAGAGCAATAGGACAGAGTTGATAAACTGAGTCTGCACGTGGAACCTTAGGAATAAGAATAACCTAGTTAGAATTATAATGAAGAGGAATTTTCCCATCAATGAAAAAACTCTGAATAGGCAAAACTACATCTGGACCAACTATGCTCCAGCATGTAACATAGAAATAGGCATTGAAACCATCAGGACCCGAAGAACTAAAAGGATCCAAAATTTTAACTGCTGTAGGAATTACTCTTTCAACTAGCCTAGTATTCACTGTATCGTCGTCCGGGAAGAACAAAGTCTTGTAGTGTATCACAATGTCATTTTGTACGAAGACGGATCATCCAATATTTGGGAACCAACACGAACTGATGCCAAGGATTGATGAAGCTTTTTGAATTCCATCATGGAGTGAAAAAATTTAGATTTAGTATTCTATCCCCTAAAGATAACCCGCGAGCTCGTGATTTATCCTTCAAAAACATTTCTTGTAACCTAAGAGCCTCATGTACAAGCGTGCAAATGTATCATTAGAGGGACCAAGAGAAGCAATTTCCCCCTGTATAACTTCCAAATCATGCAAAAAAACTATCCACGACAGAGTTGACATATCCAAAAGAAGACCAATTCCATGCCCTAAGCTTACCCTTAAGAACCCATAACTCAGCTGCTAGGGATGACGTTGAATTACTTTTTATTTTGAGAAATGACAATGGATTACTTTAAAAATTAAACATTACACTCAAAACTAGATATTTTTTTTCGGTACAAGATCACATTCCTTCTAATATATGCAAATAAGATGGATGAATGTACTTACTCTCTCTTCTAATCCCACTAACACATTCCTAAGGCATTCAAGTCTACATGTCTCATACCATACTTATACCGCTTGGTTCCGAATACCTTAGAATATGAGTTAACCCCTGTTCATCCCTTAAGCCCAATTTCTTAGTTTTCACTTTATTATATAGGCACTTCCCCCCGATACATAATTGTATATTCAAGCCATTCTCCTAACGTTTGACATATACAAGATTTCATTATTTATAACCAACCGGTTGTATACTCAAACCCTTCTCCCAATGCTTGACGCATACAAAGTTCATTATTTTATATTCAAGGCAAACTCCTAATGATTACAAACTTTCCACCTCATCTTTGAGAGAAAATAAATCAAGACAAAACTACTCTGTTAGTTCCACCTCAAACTCTCGGCCCTTTGTGAGAAAAATCGAGCCAGACTCATCATAATTCCCTTCTCCAATTCAAACTAAAAATATCTCTAATTACATATGAACATGAAATAATATTAGCTAGTTTTTGAAATAATTTTGTAGCAAAATGAACTTACGTTGAGACTAGTTTACATATCAAAAGTATAGGTTCTTGTACACATATATGTACTCTTTTTTTTTTTAAAATACAGGGTATTACAATTAACATGGTTAATGGGAGGGTCAAAAACTGTAAGTAATCCAATTCGGAATATCCGTGTACATCCGCTTTTCGATCTGTAAATTCCTATGAACATCATCCAAAGTAAACTATTACAACGCATACGTGAAAGTGGTATGTGAACATATGATTTGATATTGAAAATTTGGGTTAGGCGGTGACTAGGACAATGTGTCTACCCTTTTGCTTCAAGTTTGAATTCCCCTCCCTATGGATTATAATAGTTTAGAGTAAAAGAACATCTGACTTGCTATTTGATTATTTTTTTTAACAAACCATATTATCTACACTAAGTGGTGGAAGAGTGTCGCCTCACAATGGGCTAGCAATAATGTGATTCAAATTCACTTTTGGCAAGAATTGAATATCCTCTTGTTAGACCACATGTGAATGACAATGAGATAACAACTAGGTTTCTTGAACTACACGTAAACTCATTATGCAAATTGTGTGGTTGAAGGAATCTGAGATCCTTGATATAATAGGAGTTGTGGAGTTTAATTATAGTGCAACCGATCTAACGGGAGTACTTATCAAGTATTTACTAAGAGATAAGAATCACGGTGGGACTTTAAGTTGTTATGAGGATAGAGTTTATCACCACTACTGATAATTGGCCGGTATTAGTGAAACTCTGATAAGATAATTTGGTATATATACATATTGAAGAAGTCCCTGCTTCCACACAATAAGACTCTCGTA